AGCAGGGTTTAGGGCTGTTGTGCATAGGGTCGCTATGAGTCGGAAACGACTCGACGGCACATAACAACAACATCCTTGTATCTAAGGAGCACCCTTCATTGCACTTCCTCCAAGACAAATTTGTTCTTTTGGAAGTGCATGGAATATTTAGTACCAAAATCAGGAAAGAGTGTGTCAAGGATGCATCCTGTCCCCTTACCTTTTCAGTCTGTATGCAGAACAGATCATTCTAAAAGCCTGATTTTATGAGGTGTGTGGCATCAAGAATGGAGGAAGACTCATTAACAGCCTATGATATGCAGATGACAAAACCTTGCTTGCTGAACTGAAGAAAACCGTAAGCACTTACTGCAAAAGATCAAGGGCTGCAGTCTTCAATATGGATTGAAGTTCAACATCAAGAAGACAAAGATTCTCACCACTGGGGCAATTGGCAGCACCATGATAGATGGAGAAGAGATTGAGGTTGTCAGCTCCGCAATCAACACGCTTAACACCAGCAGTCAGGAAATCAAAAGATGAATTACACTGGGAAAATCTACTGTTATGGACCTCTCCAGAGTGCTGAAGAGCAACAATGTCAGTCTAGATACAAAGATGCACCTAATCCAGGCCATGGTCTTCTCAATTACTTGTTATGCTTCAGAGAGTTGGACAATGACTAAGGATGACAAAAGAATAGATGTCTTCAAGGTGTGAAATCAAGTCTTTCCTTGGAGGTTAGGATTTTGAAGGACATCATGCTTGGAAGGGTGGATGAACAGCACAGGAGAGAAAGACCCTGGATGAGATGGATTGATACAGTAACTGGGGCAATGGGGGCTGGTGTGTCCTGAGACTGGCTCAAGGGTTCAGGGCTGCTGCACACAGGTTCACTATACATTTCAGATGAACAAAGAACTCTTTATTGTGCAGAATAATTTTTCAACATGTGGCGGTTCCCTCCCTTGGTCCAGGGCAGGGAGATTGCGAACATGGTTGGTGGACAGGGGGATCAGTCATGTGGGTCGGCTTCTGATTGGTAGGCTAATTTGCCCTCCTATGCCCTCTCCATGCCATGTATGCTCCTATTAACTGGTTACTTTTAAACTTTGTAGGAATTAGATAAGATTCTGCCCTGTGAGACTTTCTGACACCCTTGTGTTTATTCTACCTTATTGCACGCTTTTAAAACTAAGACTTTTTCTTGCTTCTGCCTCCGGAGTTAATGAATTCTTTTCAAGGTTGGGTGTGAGTCAGGCTCCAGGTGGGTGCCAGACGCACAAAGTGGGGTTTATGCTGTCCCCTCAGTACATTACAATAACATACTATGGCAGGTTTGGAAGCAGGAGTGGCATCTACATCCTAAATATGTCTCCAGAAACTCTATGAACTTTGATAAATGGTTCTTGAGGGGCTTCAGGCCTTTTGTTCATAGGGTTGCTGTAAGTTGTGCTCAACTCGAAGGCAATCAACAACAGCAGCTTGAACTTCCTCCTTCATCACCATAGGCTTTTGATCATATATTGTTTCATGAAATTCTTCTCAATCAGCCAATTTTTTTGGTATACTTACCGTGTATTCCGTCTTTCTTTTTTTGATGTTGCCTGGATCATTCAACTTTCTGTCCACACCATCCTTAAGAATCACACCTCAAGGCTTGAATTTGTTCTTCAGTTCCTTCAGCTTAAAAAATGACCAAGTTCATCCCTTTTGATTTTCCAACTCCAGCTCTTTGTACATTTCAATACTTTGCTTTGTCTTCCTGTGTTGCCCTTTGAAATCGTCTGTTCAGGTGCTCTAGTGGAATATTCAGTTTCTTCTGACATTCATTTAGGCCTTTTTTCCTTCCTGTCTTTGTAATGACCTTTTGCATTCTTCATGGATGATATTAACTTCCTCCCACAGTTCATTTGCTCTTTGGTCATTAGTTTTTAAGGCCTCAAACTTGTTCCTGAGATGGTCTTTAAATTCAAGAGGGATAGACTCAGGGTCAAACTTTGGTTCCTGTTGGTTCCTGTGGATTGGATTTTATTTTAATTTCAGTTTGAACTTGCATCCAAGTAGTTAATGATCTGATCCACAATCAGCACTTGGCCTAGTTTTCACAGCTGATATTGAGCTTCTCCAAAGATTTTTTTCCACATATGTAATCGATGCGATTTCTGTGTAGGTGAGCTCCATGTGTATAGTCACCATTTGTGTTTCTTATAAAAGTTATTTGCAACTAATAAATCATTGATTGTACAGAATTCTATCATTCTGTCGCCAGTCTCATTTCTGTCTCCAAGTTCATGTTTCCAAGCTACTGATCCTTCTTCCTTGATTCCAATTTTAGCATTCTAGTCACCCATTATTATTAGTGTAGCTTGATGGCATGTTTGATCGACTTCCAATTTCAACAGTTGGTAGAAGTCATCTATTCCGCCTATTTGGCTCTGGTTATTGATGTATAAATTTGAATTGATAGTGGTATTAACAGGTCTTCCTTGTATGTGCATCAATATTATCCTGTCACTCACAACATTGTGTTTCAAGATGGATCTAGAAACGGGTTAGGGTCATTTTAAATATGAATGTAACCCCATTGTTTGTTTTTTTTCTCACCTTTTCATTCCCAGCATAGTAGATCATATGATTATCTGATTCAAAATGTCCCACGCCAATCCATGTCATTTTGCCAATGCCTAGTACCCATGCTTAAATTATACTTTTTATCTTTCAGGATATAAAAGGAGAGAAAATCAAAGCAGAAAGGTAAGGGACCTCACCACTAACAATAAAGAAGAAATGGGGGTGGAACATGTGTGGAGCACCTCCTAAGTCTGGGAGAATACTGATATCAGGATGTATGGAGATAACACAAGGAATGCCAATTGCACAAATGGTCAAAGAAGACAAACCCTTTCCTGTTGAGCCAACACCCTGAATTCAGAGTACTAGTCTTCTAAATATGAGTAAAAAATTGTTAACACCATTCTCTAGTGATAATTTTGTTACAGGAGCACTAGATACTTGATACAGTATTTCCACCTGTCAAGAAAGTACATTTCTATTCAGGCAAATTCTTTAATAAGAATATGCCAAATTTAATTCACTGTTTAAAAATACTAAGTTCAATGTAAGCAGCAATACAAGGCACAACTACTATCTCTATTCTCCTGGAACAATGAAAGAAGGAGAATAAGGAATAGGAGAATATGGAATAAATATATAACTAATTACTTCCATAAACAAATGTCTCCTTTGCCAACAGAGCAAAAGAACTGGATAGTGTATAGTTTTTCCATTATGGCACATTTTTGTGAAAGGATTCTTTAAAAGAATCCTGATCAAAGAGGGATGGGGACATACAGAACAGATTTTCAAATTCTCATGGACTCCAGACTTTCTAGAGCAATTGAAGCTAGATGTAATCTTGAAACTACTATCCTGAATAATCTTTAATCCTTAAATTAAAAATGTTCCCTGAAGTCTTTTTAAACCAAGTAACAGTTTTGCTTGTTGCTGTTATGCACCAGAGTCAGAATCGACTCATAGCTGACCCTCCGGCAGGTTGTTAGAGGCAATAAATTGCAAAGGAGACCACCCATCATTCTCATGCTGAACAGCTGGTGGATTTAAACTAAGTACCTTTTTGGGTTGGCAGCACAAGTCCTTAACACTGAGCCACCAGAGTTTCCTAAGTTTAGCTTAGCTAGTTAAAAAGATACAGAGTATTATGCTCTTTTAAGAAACATATTCACAGTATCAAATTATCAATAGCAACTAAAAATATTCTACTGAAACCTAAAGAGTCAATGAGTTTAATGACAAAAGAAACTCAGAAAAGGAGAGTGAGAATAGCTATACAATTCAAAGAATGTAATCAGTATCACTGAATTTTACATGTATAAACTATTGGATTAGTACATCTTTATCTGTGTATATTCTCAACAATGAAATAAATAAAAACAAAAGTTCTAAGATCAATCCATAAACTAATGCATTCCAAATATTAACACAGATTATCCTTCATAATACACAGAGCCTATTTCTTGGAAAATTTTGTTCTACCCTTGAACCTTCCTTGATTTAGTCCTTATAATATTCATTGTCTACCCATTCCATTTCTATCCTCCTCCCCCTTACCTTAGTTACCCTGCTATTTTCACAGTAGCAGTCTTATGCAGTATTTGTCTTTTTTGTGACTGAGTTATTATTACACCCCACATAATATTCTCTACACTCTCCAGGTTGTTTCATACCTTTCAAATACACCAAACCATTTTGAAAAGTAGCATATGAATTAGAATCAATAGTACTATGAAGGAAGCCAAAGTTGCACTGAAGAAACTGGGAAAATATAAGGCCCCAGGAATTGAAAGAATACCAGTTGACGCGTTTCAGCCAACAGATGTAGTGAATCCTGGACATGTTCACTAGTCTATGCTACAAAACTTGGAAGACAGCTACTAAGACAATCAACTGAAAGAAATAAATATTGCTATCCATTCCAAAACCAGTTAATCACACAAAATGCAAAAAATTATCACACAATATCATTAATATCATACACAAGTAAAATCTGATGATGATTATTTAAAACTGGCTCAAACAGTACAGCAACAGCCTTGACTTACAAACAACAAAATCTAAAACTGACTCTTGGAAGAACAGCTAACACACACATACGTACTTCCACAATCACTCTATGAATGTTAGCAGAGCTTAAGAATCACAGAGAACTATATTGATGATATTTATGAAAAATATTAACTGTCAAAAGTCCTTATGTTTCCTAAAGCAGATGTAAAACAAAAAGATCATCAGAAATTAGTATATTCACTGAATATACTTAGATGTGAATGGTGTTCCTTTTTCAAAGTCACCTAAACATGTGGGCTTCTGAGGTACTGGTAATACTCTATTCCTTGATTTCAGTGGTTGTTACACAAGTATATTTACTTTGAGATAATTGGTTGAGCTATATACTTATTCCTTTTTGTATCTATGTCATAGCTTTCATTAAAATTTTTAAGGAAAAAAATTTAAATTCCTCTGGTCTTCAATCACAATTTCACTCCTAATAATGTCATAGGTCCCACCTTATTCCCAGAAGCATCTTTTCCCTTCCCCTCTTCTTCCACATGAAAGCGAAGATTCTCCAGCAGGATGACAGAACCAACAGCTGGGTCAGCACAGGCTTTCTCCACTTCTGGGCCAACACAGTCCTTCAAGAACAAAACATCCCTGAGGAGAATAGAAGATAGAGAGATTGAGTAAACTAAAAGCTAAGAATCAATAACATTAACAGAGCCTGCCACTTACTTGCCCAGCAAAGATCTAAGTTCTACACCAACTGGTTCTAAGGAGTATTTGTCAGGCATGGGGACACCATCCGGCCTGCCCAGGTGGCTCATAAGAACAACAGACTTGGCTCCACTGTCCAAACAAAATTTGATGCTTGGGATGGCAGCTTTGATCCTGCAATCAAAAGGAGACAGTAGATAGAGTCAGGTTACTTCCATGAATTAGTAGATACTATCTTATTCAGAACTTTAATAGGGTCCTTTCATAGGGTCACTATGGGTCATATGCGAATCAAGAGCACATAACAAAAACAATAACTATTTTTCACTGCTGGAAAAAAGAAGTACAGTTTGTCAACTAACTTCACCAGAAGCTAATGCATGAATTTCCCCAGACTCTGTCTATGATTTTCCCCACCTTGCATATCCCATCAAGTACCCTAGCTATAAGGACAACCATGTACTGAATTCCAATGAATCTTTCTAGCAAATCGCCAAGTGTGGTTGGTCATGGAGACACCAAATTAGGTGTCCATGGAAGACATGTAAAAGTTCAAATTTTTAAACCATCAAAGGAAACCTATGGAAACCAAAATATTACAATTAAGTTACTTTTTTTACTTAAGTTACTTTTTTATTTAGAAAAAAATGCATTATATGGAACTTGGTTAAATACCAAATATTTCTAATAATTTAGTAAGAAAATAATTACATTTACTTTAAACAAGTATGATTTCTTTTGACAAATATAAGGAGCCCTAGTGTTGTAGTGGGATAGACGTAAGGTCATATTTTGGTTGTTTTGGACTTGTTTCAATTTTTTTCAGCCTCAATTTGAACTTGTACATTAACTATAGGTAATGAGCTTCTCAAACAGTTCTTTCCACATATGTAGTCAATCTGATTTCTATGTAGTTCAACTGATTAAGCCCATGTGAAAAGACACTGTGTTTATTAAAATAGGTATTTTTCTTTGCGAGTTGAAAAGATATTTATTGTATTTACACAGACATGGTGAAAGAAATCAGGCTGCGAAAAGAATGACTGAATTTTATTTTCAATGATTTATCCATTGCAAATATCTATTTAAAAAGACAAAAATTAAGACTTTACACATGGATCTCATCTGATGAGATGCATAGAAATCAGACTGACTACATATGTGGAAGAAATCGTTGTTGTAGGTGTTATGCGCCATCGAGTCATTTGCGACTCATAGCGATCCTATGTACTAAACTCTGCTCTGTCCTGTGCCAATCGCACTGTCGCTGACACTCCCATCCCAATTAACCCAGTCACTGAATCAATCCACCTCATAGAGGGCCTTCCCCTCCTGTGCTGTCCCTCCACCCTTCCAAGCACGATGTCCCTCTCCAAGGACTAGTCTCTCCTTACAACATGTCCAAAGTATGTTAGACAGAGCCTCAGAATCCTTGCCTCCAAGGAGCCACCCGGTTTAACCCTTTCCAGGATGAATCTGTTTGTTTTCCTAGCAGTCCATGGTACTCTCAATACTCTTCTCCAGCACCACAGCTCAAAGGCATCAATTCTCCTTCTATCCTCCCTAGTCATTGTCCAACTCTGATGCATAACAAGTGATTGCAAAGACTATGGCCTGTATCAGACGCACCTTAGTCTCTTCAGTACTTTGAGGAGGTCCCTAACAGCAGACTTTCCCATGGCAATGCGCCTTTTAATTTCCTGGCTACTGGTGCCAAGAGTGTTGACTGTGGAACCAAGCAAACTAAAGCTGTGAACAATCTAATTATTGGAAGTCAAAACTAGGCCAGGGCGGACTGTGGGTCAGACCATCAATTACTCATATGCAAGTTCAAATTGAGGCTGAAGAAAATGAAAATAAGCCCACAGGAACCAAGATATGATCTTGAATCTATACCATCTGAATTTTAAGATCATCTTAGGAATAGGTTTGAAGTATTCAAGACCAAAGACCAAAGACCAGATGAGTTGTGAGATGATAATAAGGATATCATCCGTTATGAAATCATAAGGTCATTATAAAAACAGAAGAGAGTTAAAAAACCAAAAAGGATGTCAGTGAGACCCTAAAAATTGCCCTGGAGCATCAAGAAGCCAAAACAAAGGGGAAAAACATGACAAAGTAAAAGAGCTGAAAAGATGATTTCAAAGGGCAGCTGGAGAGGACAAAGAAAAGTATTATAATGGAAGGTACAGAGCCAAAATTGAAGAATAAAAAGGGAAAAACCTGCTCTACATTTCTCAAGCTCAAAGAACTAAAAATCAAATTTAAACCTCGAGTCACAATAGTGAAAGATACTATGGGCAATATATTGAATGTCTCAGAAAGCATCAAAAGAAGATAGAAGTATATGAGACTAAGTTAAGTTTATTCAACATAATGCTGTCCAGTCTCCGTACCAAAAAGAACTGTGTCAGTCAGGAACTACCATATGACCAGGAGCAAATGATTATGAAGGAAGAAGCTGCATTGAAGGCATTGGGAAAAAAAGGAGATCCCAGGAATTGACAGGACCAACTGACTTGTTTCAATTAACAGATGCAACTGTGGCTAACTCTGAGAAGAATGAGAATCCCAAAACACTTGATTGTGCTTATGTGAAATTTATACTTGGATAAGTCATCAAAACAGAACAGGGAAAAAATACCTGGTTCAAAATTGGGAAGGGTGTACTCCAGGGATGTATGTTATCTCCGTTCTTTTCTAGTCTATATGCAGAACAGATTATCCAGGAGGCTAGGTTCTATGAGGAGGAATGTGACATCAGGATTAGAGGAAGATTCATCAACAACCGGCGTTATGCAGATGACACAACCCTGCTGTTGAAATTGGTGAGGACATGAAGTGCTTGCTGCAGAATGTCAAGGACTGTAGCCTTTAATATGGATTTAAGCTCAACATCAAGAAAAAAAATTTCACCACTTGGCCAACTGACAGCATCATGTTAGATGATGAAGAAATTTAGATTGTTAACAGCTTGCTTGGCCCCATAATCAATACTGTTGGTACCAGCAGCCAGGAAAGCAAAAGACAAATTGCTTTAGGAAAGTCTGCTTTCAGGGACCTCTCTGGAGTACTGAAGAGCAACGATGTCAGTCTAGAGACTAAGGTGTGCCTGATCGAGGCCATAGTCTTTGCAGTTACTTGCTATGCATCAGAAAGATGGACAGTGACTAGGGATGATAGAAGGAGAATTGATGCCTTTGAGTTGTGGTGCTGGAGAAGAGTATGAACTGCTAGGAGAACAGATTCATCCTAGAGAGTGTGAAACCAGGCTGCTTCTTGGAGACAGGGTTTCTGAAGCTTCGTCGGACATATTTTAGACATGTTGCAAGGAGGGACCAGTCCTTGGACAGGAACATCATGTTTGGGAGGGTGGAGGAACAGCACAAGAGAGGAAGACTCTTGATAAGATGGATCGATTCAGTGACTGGGGTAATGGGGGTAGGTGTGTCAGAGACAGTGAGGTTGGCACAGGATAGAGCAGGGTTTAGGGCTCTTGTACATAGGGTCGCTATGACTCGTGAGTCCTCACTGGAACAGAACAAACAGCAGTGGCTCAAATTATACTTCCATTAAACATTGGCCTAGATTATAGGAAAGTACCTTTCTGGCTCCAATCTTTCATTTAAAATAAAAAAAAACTTTTAAGTAATTTACTCAAAAATAAGAATGGTATTATCTCTTAAATTTCCACATCTAACGTAGACAAACAGAAAGGGCAACCTAGGTAGAACTTTCAAGCATGGAAATACAAAGGAAGAGAACAGTTGTAAGCAGACACTAGTGATTGGAACATGGAATGTGAGAACCATGAATGTAGGAAAATTAGA